ACACACACACACACACACACACACACACACACACACACACACACACACACACACACCCTAAAAAATAGACAGGTGCCAGTGGCTCACACCTGTAATCCTAGCTACTCAGAAGGCTGGAGATAAGGGCCTGTAACAGAGTCAGGTGTTTTCTACCCCAACTGGCACTGATACCGGGGAAACAGGGAAGATGTACCCACCAGTAGGAGGCATACAGGGACAGGTGGGATGCAGGTGAGACTGCAGGAGCTGCTCCAACCTCTCCTCAGTTTGCTATGCTGGGAGGAAAGGGAAGAGGAGAATGTTATCAAGCTAACTGCTGCAACATGACACACAAGTGGTGTCACCAAGTCTTCAAGAGCAGGGAGACAGTGTCCTATCCACATTTGGTATGAGGTTCTTACTCAGACCCAGTGAGGCGAGGCTCCCCTGTGAAGCTGGATCATAGTCCAGGCCGTAGGGGCTGGCCACAACCACTGGGAAGTTCTGGGTCTGCAGAGCCTTCTCCATGCAGCCTCAAGCATGTATTTAAACACAGTCTGTCCCAACACCAGCAAGGGCTGGGTACAGGGCAGCAAGGGCAGTCTTCCCGATGTCAGTTCCCTTGAGTCACTATTTCTCTTCTTTGCTTACAGACACCCACAAAACCTGTTTCCCAGTATCCTCATTGTGGTCTTTGTGATTCTTTACGGAGTTTTGATTACTAAAACCAGACATGTAGATTGTCATAACAAAAAGAAAACTGAATATATCTTTCTTCAAGAAGACATGCCACCTGGCCACCACCTGTATGCACTTGTCCTAGCCACTGGCTTCCGGTCTCCGGCCAGGTTTACATCAAAGGTAATAAAAGGTTCCTGGGGAGGTCTCTAGTGGGGCTCAAGGGCATGCATAGGCCTGAGGAGCACAAGAAGTGACCATTTGGCCAGGCACTGATGGCTCACACCTGTAATCCTAGTTACTCAAGGATCACTGTTCGATGTCAATCCAGGCAGAAAAGTTTGTGAGACTCATCTCCAACCAGACAGCAAAAACTCAGAAGTGGAGGGTGTGGCTCAAGTGCTAGAGTGCCAGCTTTGAGCAAACTAGCCAAATGAGAGTGTTAGGCCCTTAGCTCAAGCCCCAGTATTGGCATGCACACATGAACACATATAGCAGCCATCTGATAATTTACCTGCCCTGGCAATCACCTATTATCTGTCACCATGGGCCTCATCCCAGTTTCTGGGCTGAGACTTGTCCATCCTTTTCCCTGCCATCCCCAGCTTGTACACCCATAGGGCAGAAGGGTCAACTTGTCCCCTTCTGTCAGCTTAAATCCCATCTTCTTCACATTTGCACCATGGAAAGCAGCCAGAATATACAGGTTGTGTCTCAGAGACTTTGGAACCAAGTTACACACTTCTGAGTTAACATTGGTTCCATGAGCCATAATCCAAAGGAAAGAAGAGATCAGAAGTGCTAGTTTGGGCATAAAAAGAGCAGGTGGAAGATGATGTAGATGGTGGGCAGTAAGGGAGGTGGTAGGAAAATGGAGGGGAAAACTTGGTCCTGACGCCCAGGGGAGTATCGATAAAGAAGTGAGCTGTGGAAGAGGCCTGCAGGGGCCTGCATTGGAGCCTTAGTCAGAACTGTGTGTGTTATCAGATGTGTTCCCATGCACATTTAGAAGTCTCCCTGCACTTGTAACTCTTCACGCCACTTCTGGAGGCACCGTGGTTACGTTCTGGAGCTGACAGGATTGAGATATGGAGAAGGGGGCATGGAGCCATCCAGAAGCAGGGAGAAAGAAGGTTAACCATTCAGGCTATGCTCGTCACATACAAAGGCCAATGAACCATTAGGACATCATTAAAGCTGATGTTCTTGGGCTGGGAAGATGGCTCAGTGGTAGAGCGCTTGCCTTGCATGCCTGAGGCCCTGGCTTCGATTCCTTAGCACCACATAGCAAAAAGAAAAAAAACGGAGGTGGCGCTGTGACTCAAGTGGTAGAGCGTTAGCCTTGAGCTGAAGAGCTGAGGGACAGCGCCCAGGTCCAGAGTTCAGGCCCCACTACCGGACCCGAAAAAAAAAAAAAAAAAAAAAAGCTGATGTTCTTAACAAACTAGCAGGATTCATGAATGGGTGGGGGGGGGGGAATTATCAATCCTCTCTACAAGAAACAAGAGTTTATATTACACATCACTGGGGACAAGATTCTTCTTATCAGTCATAAAATAGCATGGTGCCTGGAAGTAAACTCACCAAACACATGCCAGGCCACATGGAGAGATCTTGCCCAGAAGGCATGAAGGAGCTAAGCAAAGCTGTGTTTATTCATGGCCTGACACCTCATTTTCCTTTGCTATTTCTCCCAAATTATTTTATGACATTAGTAAAAATGCTGATACTATGAGTTAAGTTCTATCAGTATACTCATTTTTATCCATTTTAGACATGAAAACCCAAGACATAAAGAGGTTAGATTTAATCATTATTCTGGACTTTTTATTTTTATATTTTATTTTATTTTTTGTCAGTCGTAGGGCTTGAACTCTGGGCTTGGGCGCTGTCCCTGTGCTCTTCAGCTAAAGGCCAGTGCTCTACCACTTGAGCCACAGTGCCTCATCTGGTTTTCTAGTGGTTTATTGGAGATAAGAGTCTTACAGACTTTCCTGCCTGGGCTGGCTTTGAACCGAGATCCTCAGATCTCAGCCTCCTGAGTAGCTAGGATTACAGGCGTGAGCCAACGGCGCCCAGATTATTCTGGACTTTTTAATTTGAACAACTGATTCTAAATTTCATGTGGAAGAGAACACAAGACAGTTGGGTCAGCTCTAGAGATAAAAGGGCAGGGATTTCACCACAGAGCCAGACTTATTTTGAAGCTTTCAAACATGGTAGAGTGTAGTCTTTGTAAGGGTATGGATTGATAGGCTTGGGAGACAGATTGGAGACTTCAAAATCCACATAGACATCTATGTAGACTTCAAGAACCAGACAGGAGGAAGTGGAGCTGTGGCTCAATTGGTAGAGTGCTAGCACTGAGCAAAAGCTGCTCAGGGACAGAGCTCAGGCCCAGAGTTCAAGCCCCAGGACCAGCAAAAAACAACAGAAAACAGACAGGAGAGAGAAGACTGCTCAATAAAATGTTCTGGGACAATAGCTGTCCTGGAAGAAGAAGACAATGTTTAAATCTTTACATTATACCCACAAATTAAATACCTGAAGCCTAAAGACAGACCAAAAAAACCCCACCAAAATTTAGTAACTGTTCACAGACACACATATATATATGTATATGCATATATGTATATATATATATGTATATATATGGGTATGTAGGAGGATTTCAAAAACAAGAAATAACTACCTTTCTCAAATGATAAAAATGATACATTATACTATATCAGAATTGCAACTCTCTTTCACCAATAAGAGATAAACTCAGCCCCACTGACAATGCAGATGTGAATGCCCCGCCCACAGGCCTGGTCCTACCCTGGGGTGCAGCAGCTCTCCTTCTAAGGTCTGCTGTATAGGCCAAGAGTATGAGATGCTGCACTCACTACTGTGTTCTCTTGCCCACCTGAGTAAGAGAAGTGCCAGTGAATTCCAGATGAGACCCACTTTTCTGCATCAAGTATGTGAAGAGCCAGCCAACTGTCCCAGCCTCCAATTCCAGGTCTCCTCCCAGATCTGTCCAGAGAGGCCCCACCCCAGAGGCACTACACCAGCCACGTGTCCCTCATCCCTCTCCAGAGCTCCATGCTGTGAGGGCCTGTTGGGTGACTTTGTAGAGGGACTAGAAGCGGAAGCATCACCCCATCATGTCCTGTTTGTTTGTGACACATCCTGACCTCTCACCCCTCTTCTGTGTTTTGAGGTTTTCGTTGTTTTCTGTGGTGAAAATGGGCTTTCGGAAACCAGAGAACTCTACTCTCCAGAGAAGCCCCTATTCCAAAGGAATTCCAAGCACACTTTTATCCTGAGGTATCTGGCGTTTCCAACCATAGATTTGGGAAAGGGGGCCAGTCAGAATTGGGGTACCCCAAACCAAAATAACTAGCATAGAGACAGTTGTTCTATAATCACTGATTTACAACCTATTGTTTTTGTTGTTGTTTTTTTAGTTTTCCTAATATCATGCAGTAAATGAAATTGTTTCTTTACATGAAGGAAGAAAGAGGGAGGGAGAAGACATTTAAGCTTTTTATATGTTTGTTCCAGTTCTGGCACTTCAACTCAGGGCCTTAAGTTCTTCCTTAGCTTATTTGCTGAAGGCTAGAACTCTACTACTTGAGCCACATCTCCATTTCCAATTTGTTTCTGCTGGTTAACAGTAGAGAAGAGTCTCTCAGATTTGTCTACCTGGGCTGGCTACAAACTGTGTTCCTCAGGTCCCAGCCTCCTTACTTAGTGGCTAGGATTACAGGAGTGGAGTTGCCAGTGTCTTGCTTAAGAACATTAATTTTATGTGCCAGAAACAATATTTTTATGTCATTAAGTCTGCCTGAATTAATTCGTATTGTTCCAGATTTGGCAGAATAGTGACACATTGTGTGACAATGATGATGAGTTGGAGGGAAAAGGACATGTCAAGAACTAATATCTAGGCCCCTGACTTTCTTAGAAAATGCATAAGTAGGTCTGGGAATGTAGCTTAGAGGTAAAGTGTTTGCCTAGCATGCATGAAGCCCTGGGTTTGATTCCTCAGTACCACAAAGTCAGGAAAGGAAGAGTGGCACTGTGTGGCTCAAGGGGTAGAATGCTAGCCTTGAGCAAAAAGAAACTCAGGGACAATGCCCAGGCGCTACATTGAGTTCAAGCCCCACAGAAAGAAAGAAAAGAAAGAAAGAAAGAAGAAAGAAAGAAAGAAAGAGAAAGAAAGAAAGGAAGGAAGGAAGGAAGGAAAGAAAATACAAAAGTATTGAAGTGCCCCCCCTTAGGGAAAATTTCATTGATAATATTCACTGACTTAGAATATTGTCCTAGATTAACAGATTCATTCGTGCCATATATAAATAGATGGATTTTATTTACTTTGGTATAGAGAAATGACAGTAGCTCCCTAGCAGAGTTCCAGAAACGGCAGACAGTACTGAACCCCATACCTACTGTTGTTTCTAAACATGCATATCCAAGAGAAAGCTATTTATGAGGCTTAGTAGGAAATTAGTAATTACTAATAATTAAACTATGTGACTATAATAATACTCTGTAATAACATTTATTGAAAAGGTCTGAGTTGTTTATTTCTAGAATTTTCCATTTAATTTTGTTAGATGATGTTTGATAATGGATAACTGAGACCATGCAAAGCAAAAATGAGGATGGGGGGGTGACTGTGACAGAGACTAAGAACCTAGAGGTCACGCTGGTCACTGCTCAGTGTGACCCACTGCCCACTGGCTGTGTTCTGGGGCCTGACCTGTCACTCTGCGTGGTAGTGATTTGTTGGCACATCCCAGTCACCCCTCATGGACCATCAGCGCCAGGAGGGTGGCCCCAAGTTGGCAATGCATCCATCCCATCCAGCACAGGTCGGTGATGAGACATTGTGTATGTGTTACCAGTGTATCTGCCCAGTTGGGTCCACTCCAGAAGATCTGCCTGTGGCATGACTGCCGGGGACATTCCCCCAGCTTGTTCATCAGCCACATGATGGTGAAGAACTTGTGCTCAGGACAAGGCTGGTTCTTCCATGCCCAGTGCTGGCTGGCTGCGAGCCGAGGCGATGGCCGTGTGGAGCGGGAGTTCACTTGCCTGCACCATGGGCTTGGCTTCCAGAAGGTAGGCCCTAGGCAGGAGGCATTCCACAGCATACCTGACTGCCCTGTGGAACCTGATTTCTAGCTCTGCATCTCTCATCACATTTTTTTTCCTTTAAACCATTACAAAGTTATCTGCATTGCTTTGTTCTTAGTTATCTATAAAATTATCCTTATCTAAAATTTGCATGCATTAAGAGGCCATCCAAGCCTGGGTTAATCACCTTTGCCAATTAGTAATCATTGAAAAAATGCATTTCTTCATTTAACTACAATGCTAATTACAATTCTGGAATTTATGGCTACCCGTGGTCTGCAGTTTGAGGCTTCATGGTAAAAACTTTTTAATGCCCCAAACAACTAGGATAATTCTCATAGAATACAGAAGTGGTCAAGGATCAAATAGGAGGAAATCAGTCCCAAGAAGCAACAAAACCATCTAAGAACAATCCATAGTCCCCAAACTGACTATGAAACTTTGGGTTTTTACATGTTCCCTTTCAATCTTTCCCTGCCTAGGAATGTATTTTACAAAGTTGGGGTAAAAATGCTGAGATTTCTCCCTCAATCTTTGGTTAAAAGTGAGCACTTTGAGCCAGGCACTGGTGGCTACTCAGGAGGCTAAGATCTGAGGATCACAGTTTGAAGCCAACTCAGGCAGGAAAGCACACACACAAGCTAGAAATGAAGCATGACTCAAGTAGTACAGCATTTGCCTTCAGCAAAAAAGCTCAGGGACAGTGCCCAGGCCCTGAGTTTAAGCCCCATAACCTACGAGAGAAAGAGAGAGAGAGAGGCTTTGCTAGCTGAATAATCATAGAAGAATTAGAAGGTCTACATTGTTTCTTTTCTTCTCTTCTCTTCACTTCTCTTTTTGTCAGTCATGGATCTTAAACTCTGGACCTGGGTGCTGTGCCTGAGCTCTTCAGCTCAAGGTTAGCACTGTACCACTTGAGCCACAGTGCCAATTCTGGTTTTCTGGTGGTTAACTGGAAATAAGAGCCTCACAGATGTTCCTGCCTGGGCTGGCTTTGAACCATGATCCTCTGATCTCAGCTTCCTGAGTAGCTAGAATTACAGGCATGAGCCACCGGCACCCCGCTTGCATTATTTCTTCTCCAGCCTTGTTGCTTGAAAACTTTGTGAGAAACCTAGAGTTACTAGTATAATCATCTGTCGATCTGCATAGCTGTGTCCCATAAATCAGCTGTCACTTGTTAGCCAATCTACTAAAAACATTCTGTTAACACAGTCTGTTAACTATTTTTTTTTTTCGGTGTGGGGCCTGAATTCTGGGCCTGGACACTGTCCCTCAGCTCTTCAGCTCAAGGCTAGCTCTTGAGCCACAGCGCCACTTCTCGCTTTTTCTGTTTATGTGGTGCTGAGGAATGGAGCCCAGGGCCTCATGCATGCAAGGCAAGCACCCTACCACTGAGCCATCTTCCCAACCCCGTTAACTATTTTACTGGTACTTATTTGTTATTCTTCTTGCATTCGATGGTACTGGTTCTCTTAGAGAAGACATGGGTGGGGCAGCGCCAGCTCTTGATGTACTCAGACCCCATTAAAGTCAAAGTGCTTTGGGGGAAAGTCCTGAGACTACACTGTCTAGTGGGATTGCAAAGGAGAGACATGAAGGGAGGCCCTAGAGAAGAGACCTCTGAGCCACCATGGATGCATTTAAGAGTCACACAAATGAGGCAGGGGGTGATTTGTTCTGGAACTTGACAGGTGCTAGTAGGAGTTTGGACTGGGCCGGAGTCCAGGGTAATGAGAAAGTGGCCTTGACAAAATACTGCTGATAAGGTGAGAGGGAAGAATCTAGAACAAGAAGCCATACAGGGTGTCCACATAGCAGCTAGTAGCTGGCCAGGATAGAAAAGCCAAAACTTTGGGGGTCTCAGCACAGAAAATTATGGGTTGTTAATTGGGATTTAATCTGTTGTTTAGATAGTCATTCTCCTGTGTGTGGTTTCTGTTTCAGCTTTTCTATTCAAAGTTCACGGAGTACTTGCAGGAGTCCCACATCTGGCTCTCAGTGTACAGCTGGCTTTCCTCCAGTGGTTATCTGCATGTACCTCGGCTGGCTGTGTCCTTCTGCCTACTATGTGTCTATGCTTACCTTGCTGCCCTGGTCACTTCAGGAGGACATGAGCAGGTGGAAATCAATGGGTTTTACAGTGGGTTCCAAACCTGACATTCATAGCCTGGACCCCTCTTGACCTAATAGCAAAACTCTCTTCTGTCATTGGAAGAAGATTTACACTAGGAGAAGTGAGCTGTCTTTCTGAAGGGCCCAAGGGTGACATGACCAGAGATGGAACTAGGAGGTGTCTGGAGGATGGTGCCTTGGGGTAAGGAGCTACCCTGCAGAGCTCCTTCAAAGCTTGGGGTTTTACACATTGTCTTTCCCAGAGGTGCTAGTAGCCTGTATTTTCTCATGAGAACACTCATGGTAGGTTTTTTGTTGTTGTTTTTTGATGATTTGTTTGTTTGGAATATTAGGTTTTATTTAGTAAAGCAAGGGAAAGCAGGAAGAAATAGAAAGGGAAAAAGAAGTACCTTTGACATACAGAGGGTGGGAGGAGAGAGGCTACTTGTAATTTTTTTTTTGGTTGGTTGTGGGACCTAAACTATTGGTCTGGGCACCATCCCTCAGCTCTCCAGCTCAAGGCTAGTACTCTACCACTTGAGCTACAGCACCACTTCCAGCTTTTTTTTGCTTATGCGGTGCTGAGGAATAGAACCCAGGAACTCATGCATGCAAGGCAAGCATTGTACCACTGAGCCACCTTCCCAGCCCCAAACTTGTAATTTTTTTAAGGGTGAAAATTGATTCACATTTTAAACAATTCCTCTGACTGAAAGAATGGGGAACAGTTCTTTTGCTCTGCAACTCTGGTTTAATTGTTCCTCATGGCATATAGAGAATTCTGTAGCACTTCAAGCAGATCCATGGAGATAAGATATTTTCTGACAGTGAAAAGTAGTATGACTTGTGGACTGTGAAAAAATGGCTAGACTTGTTTTTGAGAGTGAACTTATAGCCATCTACAAGCCTAGCTCAGTGGATTCACTGGAGAATGTAGAATCTAGCACAGTAGTCGGTCAGTGGGTGACAATTGTCAGAAAAGTGTGATAACAATTATGATTTAACATATTTTTGAACTTTAAAAAAATGGGAAGTACCATCAAATGGAAAGATAAAAACTTTCATACACACATACACACACACACACACACACACACACACATACACACACACACACACACACACACGAAAAGAAAAGCTTGGAACCTGCAATAAGAACTTAGTGGTAGGTTAGTCCTACATGGTAGACCAGTTATCTGAACTGAAGCCCTGACCATTTCTTATTGTCTGGTGGTACATTAGGAATATTTATTTGTCAAATTCCAGCCAGGATTAATTCAACTGAGCATGTGCTTCATGAAAAGTGGGTGCTCAGAAAACATGTATTCCATCTACAAGGATTTGTCAAGAGGGAAAATAATTTCTTCTGGTTTATCTATGCCATGGGATAGAGAAGCAAAGCTTCATATGTCCTCCTGTTAAATACTTTGGAATTCAAATTGGCTGTGCATTTGGGGTTCGACATGGTTCAGGTCACATAACTGCTATTTTTGAACTGTCACAGCCTCTTCTAGTTGTTGGCCCTGCTGATATCACTCTCAGATCGCTTGGCCTGAGTCTCCTGTGCACCTTCCTGGCGGCTCCAGCAGCACATCTTGTGTCACTACTCTTTGGGCTCAAAAAGGTATTGTGACTGGCTGTGTGAACCTGGGCTCCAGCACGGAACTCAATGACTTATGCCACCCTCTCCACCCAAACTTTTCATTTCTACAGGAAGCCACAGTGTGTCCCCCAGCTACAATAGGCCCATCCGTGAAAGGAACACAGCTGGATGCACCTCAGGGTAAGTACACAAGAAGAGAAACTCTACTTTGGTAGCTAGTTCTTTGGGTCAGTCTCTTAAGTGGAAAGTCAATGTCCAACATTCCGTTGCCCTATTTTTAGTATACAGGTCATCATTCCATATGTTCAAAGCCATCTTTACCCTTAGGCTGTTCATTTCTTTTTTACTTGTTTATGTTGACCTTATAAATCTTTTTTTACACAATGAGTTTCAAAGCTAGGTGGCTCACACCTGTAATCCTAGCTACTCAAGAGGCTGAGGTCCAAGGATGGCAGTTCAAAACCAGCCTAAGGAGACAAATTCAAAAACTCTCATCTCCAAAAAGCTAACTAGTAGAGCACCATCCTTGAGTGAATAAGCCCAAGAACAGTGCCCAGGTCCTGAGTTCAAGCTCCAGTACCAGCCCACATACACAAATGAGTTTCATTATAAGTAAAATCCCTTTTTTTCTCATAATATGTAAGTGCTTGCCTCCACTTAGTAAACTAGACAATTGTCGGATAGGGAGTAAATACTGCAGTATTTCCTAGTGCCTGCTTTTGCATTTTGATGACTACTTTTAGAAGCTTTTATACTACTTTTAGAAGCTTTTATACAGTCAATTTTGGCATTATTTCTTCTTAAGGCTCTTTTTGCTTTTTAGTTACTCACTTTTCTCACACTGCTGTGAGGGCAGCCTCTGCTGGATGAGGCCTTTGTCCCAACAGCCTTATCAGAAAGTCCTCATCCCAGCCTTGTCACCTCTCAGAAAAGCTCACTCTGATGGGTCAGGATGAAGTGTCACCTGAAGAAAATTGTGTCCCTTGTAAGCCCAAAGGTATCACTGATACGCTAATTGAGCATCATATATTTGCCTTTTTTTTTCTTTTCTAATCAGGCCCTAATTCCTGTGGTAGGATACCAGATGTGAGGGAACCCTATACGGTGAGTATGTAGCAACATGCAGTAGCAAATTCTCTAGCACTAACTGCTAATGATTGATTTCTTTGATGCCCTCCCTTGGTCAAGGTTAAATCAGGTATGGAAAAGATCCATGTACCACCTACCCTACTGATTGAGGTCAGTGCTCCAGAGAAATAGGGCTGCTTTCCAGCCACAGGCTACTTCATTGCCTACGTTGGCTTTGCACCATGATCCTCACATCTCATCCTCCTGAGTAACTAGGATTATGGGCATGAGACACTGGTGCCTATGAAGGGCAAATTTCTAATGTCCTGACTGCTGTATCAGAGTGGGCTTTTGCTGGTTTGGATCTATGTAAGCACCCCACTTAGCACAGAGGAGCTTCTTTTCTGTGGGGTGTTTCAGAGCATGCCTGACCCTGTACTTTCCAGCCTCTCACCCCTGCTTTGCCAGCTTCATGGTCCCTGGCCCTGGGTATGGTGCTCAGAATGCACTGTGTCCCTAACACCTTTGAGGGCTCTGCCATTTGCCCTTCCAACCCTTTCCTCAGCCTGCTGCTCTTGACTGGACCTCTGATATCTAGAGAGTAGGGGCCCATCAATCTGACTGCATGCAGCTGCCCATAGGCTGCCAGAATTGCCTCAAAGACACCCTCTAGGAACATGATCTCTAGGAAGGGCTTTACTTCCTCCTTCACAATCATGTGGTACCTGAACTTGACCAGGTCCACACTGGGTCATTTATGCCTTTTGGCTGCAAAGCATACTGGTCAAAAAGGCATACTTCTCCATAGAGGCATTGACCTTGGCCTAACCTTGTTATTCTAGCCTTCTGTACCAGCCATTCCCTCTGGAAGTAACCTTATGTGGAGGAAGGGAGTAAATGACAGTGATGCAGCTGGTACAACCCTGGAGCTGGAGGCCAGTGTGGCAGGCCACTGTGAGACAGCCCTGAAGGAGAAGAGTCACAAGCCTGCCCCGACACGAAGTGATGTCCACGTGGATTGCAGTGAGAAGCCCCTTCCCTCTGGTCCAGTATCCGCCTGTGGCATTTGGGAGGCGTGGGTTCAGAGTAGTGTGACTAGAGATAGAATTGGCTAATTGTCACTAGACACTCCTAGTCTCATCTAAACAAAACAAAACAAAAAGACGCAAACTCATCTGAATACATGGCATCTTTTCTAAATCTTTGGTAACCATATAGCTCAACTCACACTGAGGAGAGATGACCAGATCTGCTAACCTAGTTGTCTCTATCTGTTCTGCTGTAGCTCCTAGCACTGGTTTTGAAGGATTTATGCCCTGGAGGTCTAGGGCCTACCCACCTTGGCTGAGCTCTGCAGGCTGGATCATGTGTGTATTGGTTTCCCTGGCCTGTGGTGTGGGGACAGGCTTCCTTGGCTACAGGTGAGCCATTGAAGTTTACGAATATCCTCAGGTTGTTTGGTAGAAGTCTAGCATTTGTGAGGAGATGCAGTGTTTCTGGATTTTTCTAAAATATAGATGCCAGAACTCCCCATTGCTATTCTCTCTCTACCTCCTGTGAGTGAAGAGAATCTTATGTTGATTCCAGACAATCACTTCGCAATCAGCTCTGCAACAGCAAACAGCCTAGATGAATCCAGGGTATAAAAACAGAAACCAGCCAGTTACCAGTGGCTCATGCCTGTAACCCTAACTACTCAAGAGGCTGAGATCAGAGGATCCTGGTTCAAAGCCAGCCCAAGCAGGAAAGTCTCTGAGATTCTTATCTCCAATTAACAACAACAACAACAACAAAAACAGAAGCAGAGCTGTGGCTCAAATATTAAACACTGGGCTTGAACAAAGTAGCTCAGGGATAGCACTCAGGCCCCAAGTTCAAGCCCCAGGATTGACACACACACACATACACATGAACATGCACACACACACGCACACACACAGAGAACCAACACCAAGCTCCTGAGAAGGTGGGCCATGACCTGTGCATATTGGCCAGAGACAGCCAATTGTTCTCTTGTGACACTTGGAGGGGGGGAATTTCCTGCAAGATAGGGACTATGATGCATAGATTCCAGTGTAACCTTATTCCCACAATCTCTCTTGGCCTGCCTTGGCCACCATTGGAGACCCAAGGGTCACTCAGTGTGGTCTCTAAACTATGAAGAGTAGTTACCACCCAACCTTTTTCCTTTTGACAGTCTCCCTTCTCCAGACTGCACATTTTGAGCCACTCTGTGAGGATGGACTAGATGTTTGAATCCTCTCCATATCTCAGTTTTCTCATCTACAGAGACACTTAGTGCACTTGCCTCACAAGATTTGAGGAGAAGCAGGAACAGATGACAATGTAGGAACAGTGTAGCCAGTCCTGTTCACTCACTCTGCTGCCTGCAGCCCTTCTCTGCCCTGTCTGCACTCAGTTATGTCTGCATCAGGCAGATTCAGAGAGGGTGATGTCCCTTCAGCCAGGAGGGACTTTTGCTCTCATGGGCAGAAAGACATGGAGCCCACATCTAGAAGCACCCACTCCCGGACCGCTTCCCACCCCCTGGCTTCCAGGTTTCACCTCCACTGAAGTGGTAGACCACAGGGCAGCTTGCTCCCTCCAGGGGCTCACAGGCCTGTTCTCTCCTGGCAGGTTTGTCCCAGCACAGTGTGTGCAGTGGCTGTACCTGCTGTCGCTCTCTGTGGTCTGCTGTGCGTGTGTCACCCAGCCACTCATGGTAAGGCAAGGTGGAGAGGCCTCTAGTGAGCAGGGTACCTGGAAGGGAGGGACATGGTGGCTGTGTGTTGCTAATTCCTTCCTTTCCTTGGTAGTTTGTGTTAATACATAGTGAGAAAACCCAGAACTTGGACTTGTGCTAAGCTCCAGATGAACCTGTTATTCCATCCTTCTAAAAGCCTATGGAATAAACTGCTCCTAAGGCTCAGAGAATATGAATCTCAGGCCAGGCCACAGCTGATGAGTAGGGGCCCAGGACCCAAGGGTGGTGACTACTGGTGCCCGTTCAGACCGGATGAACCTGGGTGGAACCTACTGGCTACAAAGGATCAGAAAGACACGTCTGTGCCTCCAGTGACCACCGGTGCAATCTTCTTCCTTGCTCCAGATCTGCTGTATGACGCTGGCTTTTGCTTGGAAAAGAAAAGACGACAAGGACTTTTTTACTGGGTCCTTATGTGAGGCAACGAGGAGTCTAGCTTTGGGACTGAGCCTGGGCTCAGGAGCCCACCTTGCCCTTTCTCCTGGCGGGGCCCCTGTCTGTGCAGGGGAGGCAGAAAAGGTGAGGCACTGTCTCCCCCAGTGAATTGCTCACTGAACAACTGGCTTTCCGGCGTGTCCATCCATTGGAATGTAGGCTTTGAGTTTAAAGTTGGTTCTACTTTGGGGGCCTCACAGTATTTATTTGAATTTCTTTTTTCCTTCCTGTCTCTCCTATCTTTGTTTCAAGCCCCAGTCCTGGGGCTTGAACTCAGGGTCTGGGTGCTGTCCCTGAACCTCTTTGTGCTCAAGACTAGTGCTCTACCACTTGAGCCACAGTGCCACTTCCAGCTTTGAGTAGCATATTAGTATAGGAAATAAGAGTCTCACGGGGACTTTTCTGCCCTGGCTGGCTTAAAACCATGATTCTCATATCTCAGTCTCCTGAGTAGCTATGATTATAGGTATGGGCCACCTGCACCTGACTCGTTCTTTCTTCTGTCTTCCTTCCTTCCTTCTTTTCTTTCTTTCTTTCTTTCTTTCTTTTTTTCTTTCTTTCTTTCTTTCTTTCTTTCTTTCTTTCTTTCTTTCTTTCTTTCTTTCTTTCTTTCTTTCTTTCTTTCTTTCTTTCTTTTTCTTTCTTCCTATCCTGGGGTTTAAACTCAGGGCCCAGGCATTGTCCCTGAGTTTCTTTGCTCAAAGCTAGCAGCTCGACTACCTTGAGCCATAGCTCCATTTCCATATTTTAATCTGTGATGCTTCTTTATGTGCATCTATTAAACACATGATATTTATTTTCTTTATCCCAATCACAGTGAAGTCAGAGTCTCAAGACAATACGTGTATTGTAAAAACACCAAAGTGAATGAGAAATACAATTCCTGGCTGTAATTCTGGAAACATTTTTTCCTAAAAATTAGGCCATTTGAGCTTCAGGACCCATACACAGTGTACTTCTTCTTTCCTTCTTTCCTTCCATCTTCCCTTCCTCTCTCTCTCCCACTCTTTCTCCCTCCCTCTTTCCCATCTCTCTCCCTTCCACCTTTCCTCTTTCCTTCTCTCCTTCCTTTTCTTCTTCCTTTCCCTTCCCTCTCCTCTGTTCCCCTCTCCCTGCTGCCAGCCCTTGCCTGTTTTATGTGTAGCATTGTCTTGTATAGTGTGAATGACATGAAAGTGAGCATGAAGTTATCATGAAGATGCTCACACTTTCTTGCTCCCTTCAGGCATATGAAGTATGTATGTGGTGTGTGGTCTGTGGCTCCACTTTGAGGTTTTTTTGAGTAGTTTACTGGAGATTTGAGTCTAATGGACTTTCTTGTCTGAGCTGGCTTCAAACCATAATCCTCAGATCTCACTCTCCTGAGTTGTTAGGCTTACAGGCGTGAGCCACCAGTGCTTGGCTGGATCCCCACTTTTAGAACAAGGCAATAACAGCTCAGAAATAGGAAGTCACTAATCCAAGGCCATATAACAGCAAACTGTGGCCTGGAGCCCAAACCTGAATTCCTGTCGGCTCTCCTCCTGCACCCTACTGACCAGCATCTCTGCTTTGAGCAATCATAACGCTCCTTTCTCCTCAAAAATGTCAAATGCCATCTTTTCTTGCTACAAAAAGGGTTCACTTCCTTCTCTGCCCCTTAGGTGCAGCCACCCCCATCTCTGTTCTTTCTCTTTTTGTAGTCACATCTTCTCTCTGAGATTCCTTTGACCAGTCAGCCTTGGTCAGGGCCAGGCTGGTACCTTCAAACCCATGCTGCACCTACAGAGCTTCTCTTTGCCTCTCCACAGCATATGTCCTGCCAGGAGAATTTGAATTCCCAAGCCTCACACTATAGCATTTGCACTTGCTGTGTATTGCTCAAAAACCCGGTAGCTCTGGGAGGAAGAACTGTCTGTGATTTCTCAGACTCCATGCCAGTGGAATAGAAAAATGAATAAGTAAGAAATAAATAAATGAAAACCTTTAAAGGGTTCACATTTCCAGCTACACAGATATAGCCTGAAATCAATCATGCTTTCTAAAAAGAAAAACAGGCACTAGTGGCTCACACCTGTAATCCAAGCTATTCAAGAGGCTGAGATCTGAGACTTGCAGTTCAAAGCCAGCCCTGGTAAAAAAAAAAAAAAAAAAAAATCCATGAGACTTTTTTGTCTCCAATTAACCAGTAAAAGTCCAGAACTGGTGATGTGGCTCAAGTGGTAGAGTGCCAACCTTGAGCAAAAAAAACCCAAAACATACAAAACAAGAGTGTGAGGCTCTGAGTTCAAGCCCCAGTGAAGTATAAAACAAAACCAAATATCATTTCTTGCTTAGACAGCACTTTAAAATGGCTTCTCCAGTCTGCCACGGCCTTAAGAAAAGCTACTGTACAAATGCCAGCTGTAATTGCTCCTATAATTTGACAGTGGCAGGCATGTCTGCTATGTGAAGCTCTTCTTTGTAGTCGCGGTTGCAATCCCTGCCAAAGCTGCGTGCCTGAGATGTGAGCAGAGTTTGTAAATAGAGCTGCCCTGTTCCTGGCCTCTCCCAACAACCTGTTCTGTGTGGTCTGCACACAGAACATTTTGTTCCCCTGATGATGGGGGCACTGGGCCTGCCAGGAATGCCAATGGCCTCTCTCCCTCACCACCAGCCCCAGCTTATGGCTCTCTTGTCTCTCCTAGGTCTTGGCTGCCCGTCGCCGTGAGCGCCACCTGCGCTGGGCACGGCCACCATCCATGGCCAAACTGAGGAGCATCCGAGAGAGGTTGAGAAGACAGGGCCAAACCCAGGCAGCCCTGAGGTAGGTGCAAGTCTGGAGGTGATGGTAGGCTGTGGCCCGGTGCTCCTTTCAGAGCAGCATGCTGCATTGCTGTTGATAGTTCTAAGATTGTTCTCACTGGAGAATTGGAGTGCAGACGCATCAATCTGTGCTCCACACACCAGCAGGTGGGGAAACTGAACTGGACAAAACAAAACCAACAACTTTAAGTTGGCTCTTAAACTACCCTGGACTTCTTCATCCACACATAGACTAAGTGCACAGCCAGCCTTATTTCATACTGCTCACACTTCATTACTCAGCTGTAGACTGGATCTCCACTCCCCAGCTGGGCACACGGGCCTGGGGAAAGCCAAAGGTAATGGTGGCACTTCTTCTGTGGGCATCAGCTGGGCCCAATGGCAATATTGTCAAATAAATTTCAAATTGGGTACTAGTGGCTCATGCCTGTAATCCTAACTACTTGGGAAGCTAAGATCTGAAGATCCCAGTTCGAAGGTAGGCTGGGCAGAAAAGTCCAGGAGACTCTCAATCTCCAGTTAACCGACAAAGAGCTGAAAGCAGAGGTGTGGTTCAGGTGGTTGAGTGCCAGGCATGAGTGAAGAAGAGATGGTGCCCAAGCTCTGAACTCAAACCGCAGTACTGGTGCAAAAAGAAATAAAAAATAATTTCATATTGTAGTAGGCACAGACATGATGCTCAACCTAGAAGCTCTTTGATTTTTTAAAAATAAAACACAAAACTTAAACATCATCCTGGTAGCAAATTTCTCCAAATGAGATTTGGATCATGTTTGTCTCAATGGTGCCCAACCCCTTCTCCACACATGGTGGTCAACAAGTGACAGTCACTCCTGAGTTCTTCTATAAGTAGTAGCTGAACCATTTCTCTAGATTCTGAATTCTAGACTCCAGATTTCTGTTGTAGTTTGTGAAGCATTTGGAAATTCCTGACACTTTTCCCACAATGGAGATGTTAAAACATATAATTGCACCTTTGACCATTTTCCTTTAAATACTACTTCCTATCAGCATGAAGCATCATTTGTTTTCTCTCTTTTTTTTCTTTTTTTTTTTTTTCAGTCATGGGGCTTGAACTCTGGGCTTGGGCGCTGTCCCTCAGCTCTTCAGCTCAAGGCGAGCGCTCTACCACTTGAGCTATAGCACCATTTCCGGTTTTTTGTTGGTTTATTGGAGATAAGAGTTTCATGGCCTTTCCTGCCGGGGTTGGCTTTGAACCGTGATCCTCCGATCTCAGCATTAGTTCTCTTTAAATCCAGAATACACTCTGAGTTGAATCCTTGTCCACAGAGAGATGCTGTGATTGTATTGGGACATCATGTTTTTGGTGTGTGTGCCAATATAGGGGCTTGAACTCAGAGTCTCATGATCTTACCTTTTTTGCTCAAGGCTGGCATTCTATCACTTGAGCCACAGCCCCACTTCTGACTTTTCAATGGTTAATTAGGTATTAGAGTCTCACAGACTTTCCTGCCTGGGGTGGCTTTGAACCACAATCTTCAGATCTCAACATCCTGAGTAACTAGAATGACAGCCATGAGCCATCAGCACCCAGAAAAATCTGGAAACTTTTTTTTTACACATACAGAAGTACATACTTTCCCCCAGCATTCCAGCTTCCAGAAATAATAAGTAAAAACATGAGAATATCCATATAGGAGAAAAGTCATGTGGAGACTTGTGTAATGAGAGTCACTAGACGTACCTATGTGTCATCTGGGTCATCAGGTACATAGTGGGAGTTGCGCTCATCGTTGCACATGTGCTGTCCAACCAGACTCCAGACAGAGCCATTTAGAGCCTATGTGAGAGGCAACAGGTAGATGGATATGGGGGGGTAGGGGGTGGAGAATACCGCGGTACACCCAGTCGATTCATGACAGAGCATGAATGGGTGTGCATGTGGCTTTCCCTAGACAAAGCATGGGGTGATGGCTCAGACAGCTTTAGAAAAGAACTACTTATGGGGAGAAAAGGATTAAGATTTGTAAAACTTGGCATTAAAATTAAACTTACGACCTAACAAGCTTAATCCCAAAGGACAGAAAATCACTGGGAAGATAGGCACAGAGCCCTCTTCACAAGTTGCACTGGCCTGCGGAGCCACTGGTTCCTTCGTTATGAAGGTTGACTCACACAGTGGGGAAACCACGTTAAGACTCCAGTGATTTTCTAATTCTTTTGTTGTTGCGATCCTTCAGAAATGTTGTCCTTGGTAGGAGAAGAGGTACAGATGGTAGTTCAAAAATATTGACATAAGCCAGGTGCTGGTGGCTCATGTCTGTAACTTAGCTACTCAGGAGGCTGAGATCAGAGAATTGCAGTTCAAAGCCAGCCCAGTGAGGAAAGTCATTGAGATTCTTTTTTTTTTTTTTTTTTTTTTGGATGGCCGTGGGGCTTGAACTATGGGCCTGGGCGCTGTCCCTCAGCTCTTCAGCTCAAGGCTAGCGCTCTACCACTTGAGCTACAGCGCCACTTCCGGTTTTCTGGTGGTTTATTGGAGATAGGAGTCTCACGGTCTCTCCTGCCCGGGCTGGCTGATCCTCAGATCTCAGCCTCCTGAGTAGCTAGGATTACAGGCGTGAGCCACCAGCGCCCAGCTCATTGAGATTCTTATCTCCAAAGAGCCACCAGAAAACCAGAAAGTGGTGCTGTGGCAAAACAGCTCAGAGATATCACCCAGGCCCTGAGTTCAAGCCCTACAACTGATTTAAAGAAGTATCAGCACACTTTTTTGAATTAAAAAATATAGGTATGAGGTTTATTATATGTGAGGATCGTTGAAGAAATCACATTTTATAGATGTATCTGCTAATAAAAGAACTAGAAACAACCTAAGAGCAAGGAGCTCCTAGAACTTAGATTCTTAGCACATGCTGCTGCTGGGACTTGAATGCAGGGCCCCAAGTTCTCTCTTAGCTTTTTCCCTCAAGGCTGGAGCTCTACCATTTGAGCCCCACCTCCACGTAAAGATCGGCTGGTTAATTGGAGTTAAGAGTCTCTCCAATTTGTCTCACTGGCTTCAGTCCTTGATCCTCAAATCTCAGCCTCCTGAGTAGAAGGCTGTGAGCCACAGAGCCAGGTGCCAGTGGCTCAGGCCTGTAATCCTAGCTACTCAGGAGGCTGAGATTTGAGGATTATGGTTCAAAGCCAGCTCGGGCAGGAAAGTCAGTGAGACTCTTATTTCCAGGAAACCACTCAGAAAACTGGAAGTGGTCCTGTGGCTCAAGTGGTAGAGCACTAGCCTTGAGCTAAAGATTGAGGGACAGCATCCAGGCCCAGAGTTCAAGCCCCATGGCCAACAACAAAACAAAACAAACAGATATGAGCCATAGGTGCCTAGCTACAAATACCATTTTAAAGCAAAAAGAACCAAGGATCTGGAAGTAGAGCTGTGGCTCACTGTGGAGGGCACTAGCCTTCAGCAAAAGAGCTCAGGGACAGTCCTCAGGCCCTGAGTTCAAGCCCCACGACTGACAAACAAGTTAAAAAAGAAACAACTAAGAATCACTGATACGAGATCTGTGACAGGAAATATACAAAGTGAGCTCAGAATCTTTATTAATCAAGGAGGCAATTGAGAAAACTAGGGTCCTTACTGAAGAACTCAGCAGTCAATTGGAAGAGACTCATATTGGTCAAAGATGGGCTAGTTGGATACCAGATGAAGAATAGTAAGCATAATGAACTGAAGCTTATGCAGTGTATTCAAGGCCATGAGTTTAGGGTAACTGATCAATGTGGGCAGGTGCTCAGTAAACAATCTTTGACAAGGAAGTGAAATTGTCAGCCCTCCCTTCCCTAACACACTGTATGTGGGAAGCACAGGAGGGACAGGGGGTTCTCAGACAGATGTTCCAGTCAATAGTGGAGGGTGAATGATGGAATAAGAACTTGAACATTTTTGCAACCTTCAAGAAATAAATGAATGAATCCAGGCATTGTTCATAAACAACAGTGAAGGAGAGAGGGAGAGGGGGTTCTTGACACACATCTTTAACATGGCCTGCCCCAAACTGTTCAACCTTAATCAGATATTTTGTGTGTATGGGGGTAAGGTAGGCTGTTGTTGTGTTGTTGTTGTTATTTGTTTGTCTAGGCAATTTGCAGTTTATACAAAAACCACATTTTTTAAAATACCAAAAGAAAAAGATCGAGAAATCTACAGAACAACAACAACAAAAAAGTATCTATGGCTGGGAATGCAGCTTAGATCTAAATCAATACAGAAATACAGTGTGGATTGAATAAAAGACAATATATCTGTATTGCATTGGTATATGCAATCGCAATTGAAATCCCATAAGCTTTTTTTTCTCACTAGTCCTGGGGTTTGAACTCAGGGCCTGGGCACTGTCCCTAACTTCTTTTGCTCAAGGCTAGCACTCTACCACTTGAGCCATGGCACCACTTCTGGATTTTTCTATTTATGTGGCACTGGGGAATCGAACCCAGGGCTCCATGCATACTAGGCAAACAGACACTTTCCCAGCCCCTCCCATAAGTTTTTTTTTAAAAATAGATATTATTAGATGAATTTTTTTTTCTTGGTTAGTCTCAGGGTTTGAACTCAGTGTCTGGGCTCTGTCCCTGAGCTTTTGTGTTTAAGGCTAATATTCTACCGCTTGAGACACCGTTCAACTTCCAGTTTTCTGGTGGTTAATTAGAGATAGTTTCACAGACTTTCCTGCCCTGGATAGCTTCAAACTACAATCCTCAGATCTTAGCCTCCTGAGTAGCTAGGATTATAGGTGTGAGCTACCAAGATATTAGCAAATGGATTTTGCCATGTGTATGGGAAACAGAGGAACTGGAGAACCAAAGCAATTCTAAAGCAGAAGGTCAAAGGACTGACACTACAGAAACCAAGACTGGGTATTTGGTAGTAGAATAAAAAACATAGTAGAATGGACATAGGTGAGTGGAACAAAATAGCCAGGAAATAGAACCACACACAAATATGTTCAAGTGATTTGCACCTTTCAAGAAGATGCAAAGAAAATTCAAAGACTTGGGTTTTTTCAAAAATGGTGCTAGAAGCTGGGCATGGTAACTCATACTTATAATCATGGCTACTCAGGAGGCAGAGATTGAGAGGATCACATAGGCCAGGCTAGGCAAAAAAAAAGTTTTCAGGAGTCCATCTCAGTGGAAGAAGTTGAGGGATGTACTAGCACATGCCTTTCTTCTCAGCCTCAAGAAGACAAATTAGGAGGATTACAGTCCCAGCACAGGCTCACACTAAACAGCAAGATTCTATCTCAAAATACTATGTAAGAAGGGCTGGAGAGTGGTGCTGTGGCTCAAGCAGTAGAGCACTGGCCTTGAGCTGAAGAGCACAGGGACAGCGCCCAAGCCCAGAGTTCAAGCCCTACGATGGACCAAAAAAAAAAAAAAAAGATAAAGATAGAAGGGCTGGAGATGTGGTTCAGTAATAAGCACCTATCTAGCAAGCTGGAGGGTCTGAGTTCAGACCCCAGTACTACCAAAACAATGTTGGGAAAAGTAGATGTAGAGGGGAGAGAGGGAAAAGAAGTGAACCCCAATAAATTACACACTAAAGTTTCTTCCCAAGGACAAAAGCCCAGCTCCATGAGCAGGGTTGGGGAAACACCCAGCAGGTGCACACGGGATGCACAAAGATGCCAACTCAGGTTTGTTTTTCTCACAGAGACATCTGCATGTCCATCCTCACACTGCTTCTGCTTTTGCTGATAATCTATGGGAAAGTTTCCCCAGCGGAACGTTCTCTCAGTCAAGCTTTCCGGAAGAAATTTATGAGGTAGGAAATTTGAGGAACACCTGTAGACCTGGGGCGGGGGAGGAGACTGGTGTATTAATTCATGGCTGGTGCATGCCAAAAGGACCCCTGCAGTCAGGTCTCCAGAGGGGTCTCCTTCTTACTGTAGATAAGCTGCCACTTCGTCCTCCTCTAGAACAGACCAGGGAGCAAGTCAACCCTGCGCATTGTTTAGGCCACCCCTCTGTCTCATTTTACCCAGGCACAACTGAGGCCCAGAGAAAGATTAACCACATACCATATATGAACTCTAGGAAATCTTGTTAAATGTCTTCCTAGGAGACCTCTGTTCACAAATGTTGACCTTGTGCTAGCATCTCACTTGGGGGTCAATAACAAAACAGGGATGTCCCAAAACCCTTTAAATTCTGGACCCCAAAGTTTTATTTTCTGTATTCTTTTCAAAAACATCAGAGTTCTTCCACCAAAGCTATGGTCACAATGCAGAATACCTAATTTCAAACTGTCTGCAACAATACTCCCTCAAGTGTACTGCTACTTTTGGGCTGGGAATGTGGCTCAGTGGTAGAGTGCTTGCCTAGCATGCATGAAGTCCTAGGTTCGATTCCTCAGTACCACATACACAGAAAAAGCCAGAAGTGGCACTGTGGCTCAAGTGGTGGAGTGCTAGCCTTGAGCAAAAGAAGTTCAGGGCAGTGCCCAGGCCTTGAGTTCAAGTGCCAGGATTGGCAAAAAAAAAAAAAAAGAGTACTGCTGCTTTTCAAGTCTATTCCTTTCCTTCTGTGTGTGTGTGTGTGTGCGTGTGTGTGTGTGTGTGTGTGTGTGTGTGTGTGTGATTCCTGAACTCAGTGTCTGGGAGCTGTCTTTGAGCTTTTATACTCAAGCTTAGCACTCTACTACTTGAGCCACAGTGTATGTGTGTGTGTGTGTCTGTGTCTGTGTCTGTGTCTGTGTGTGTGATTCCTGAACTCAGTGTCTGGGAGCTGTCCTTGAGCTTTTATACTCAAGCTTAGCACTCTACTACTTGAGCCACAGCTCTACTTTTGGCTCTTTGGGTGGTTAATTGGAGATAAGAGCCACAGACTTTCTTACCTGGCAGGAAAGTTCATGAGCCTCTTATCTCCAATTAATCACAGAAAAAGCCAGAACTGGTGTTGTAACTCAAAGATCTTAGGAACAATGCCTAGGCCCAGGGTTCAAGGACCAGGAATGGCAAAAATAAAAATGAATCATTTTTATTTCCTGCAAGATTGTTATTGATATACAATGAGGTAGTGACTAGCAAATGTCACCCTTTATTAGTTACCAGTTTGCCAATACTAGAGTTTGACTTCAGGGCCTCAGACTTGCTCATTTTGCTTGGCTGGTGTTCTACCACATGAACTATGCCACCAGTCTAGGCTTTTGCTTGTTATTTTGGAGATGGAGTCTAGCAGACTTCTGCTTAGGCTGGCTTCAAACTGCTATGCTCTGTATCTCAGCCTCCAGAGTGGGTAGATTGCAGGTGCCCATCCTTCCTATTTTTATGACTCACTAACAAGGTAAAACCTGGAAGTCACCTTTCAATGACTCTGTACTCTTTCTAGTAACTCGGTAATCTTATTTCCTATTGCCAAGCACTCTCCAAGTACAGCTAACTGGTGTTTTCTACTTGCCTATTTGCAAATGTAGCAGTTACTTCAGGACTGACTTGTCAGCTGTCCTCTCTGAGCAGGTGCACAGACCAGACCACTAGATGATGCTGTGAGACAAATTAAGGGGTGATGTGGGAAGGTCGCTCTAGAAGTAGAAGTCAAGATTCAACAACTGCTGACTCTAGCTAATTCGTTTTTCATCTCATATTTCCTCAGTGAACAGTCTTTGATGTTTCTCATATGAATGGTTGCCTCTTGCAATTCCCAGCAGAAACATCGCAGCTGTCATAATATTTGTGAGCCTGAGATGTGTCCATAGACTACTCTGCTGTTGACCACTTCCTGTGCATGTTCTGAGTGCTCTCCTGATCCTCCTCCCCATCCCACAACTAATCCTAAAACACAGACGTTGGAGGGTCTGAGTGAAGCCCCGAAGTGGAATCAGGGATTGAGCCCTTGGCTTTCTAAGGGCTCCTGGGTAATTTGCCATCTTTTGGCTGTGGGCTGTAGTATCTTCCTCGGTGAAAGGAGGAGGAGTCTCTCCTCTGCACAAAATATTATCATGCTGTGGGACTCATATTTATATTGTATTTGGAGTGCTTCTGAACTCAATAAAGTCTCATAAATTCCAAGTAAAGGGGCTGGGAAGGTGGCTTAGTGGTAGAGCGCTTGCCTTGCATGCATGAGGCCCTGGGTTCGATTCCTCAGCACCACATAAGCAAAAAGAAAAAAGCTGGAAGTGGTGCTGTGGCTCAAGTGGTAGAGTGCTAGCCTTGAGCTGAAGAGCTGAGGGACAGCACCCCGGCTCAGAGTTCAGGCCCCACGACCAGACCCCCCCCAAAAAAAAAATTCCAAGTAAAACCAAACAAAAACCAACCCAGTAAAGCACCATGCTCCAAACAAAAGCCAAACACGGACAGTAATAGTTGGCTTTTTTCCACCTTGCTTAGCTGGCTTTGTAGGTTTTTAAAATATTATTGCTGTAATTAACACAGTCAGGGCCAGAATATTATTGGGTTCTTGGGTTCATGTCTCCCCTTTAGTGTGCTGGAAACAAGGAGGAAGTCAGTTCTTGGTATGGGGTGTCTCAGTGTTGAGTCCCACTCAGGCCTTTCTTGATTTTGTTTCGTTGATATTACCCCAGCAGAGGACAGGGGTCCAGAAGCAACAACATTTCTCCAAACACTGTGCATACCTGGGATGCAGACATAGCTAAGTGGGAGAGTACTCCCTGAGTAGCTGTGATTACAGGCATGGCCACCAGTACCTGGCTTGAATACATAGTCTGACCAAGGTAACAGTAGAAAGTAGAACTGAGAAAAGCACCCATCCAAAGACCCATGTAGGTCAGACTTCCAAATGGAAAACCAAGGAAGACCAAATGCTGGAATGGGAGAGAAAAAGGAAATAAAACCAATTCAATAAATTGGTTCTCAAAACATTTATATGTCAATGATCTTTCTTTGCCCTTGGTTTCCTTTTATGTTGTCATAACATGAAGGTTTGGCAATACTTTTTTTTCAAAATGTTCCCTCAATCTTTAGCAGCCTATCTGCCTGAGCCCTCTGCTGAGGCTGTGGGCTTGGTGGGGTGTTGATTCACTGTCCGCCATTCTGGTCTTGCAGGATAGAGATTCCTAATGGTAGCGTTTGCCTGCCGGTTCCTCTGGTAGAAATGCTCCCAGTAAGATGACGCTAAACAGGAGTCAGTAATTGTGTCCACACTGGTTTGCAGCCTGGTGGGAGCTGGCCCCAGCACCTCCCTCTGTCACCCAGCTTTGCTTCCAAGTCCAATCTGCCCAAGTCATGGACAGACAGTTGAAGAACTGTCTGTCAGGCTGGGAACATGGCTTAGTGGTAGAGTGCTTGCCTAGCATGTATGAAGCCCTGATTTTGGGTCCTCAGTACCACATCAACAGAAAAAGCCAGAAATGGCACTGTGGCTCAAGTGGTAGATGATAGTCTTGAGCAAAAAGAAGCTCAGGGACAGTGCTCAGACCCTGAAGAAAAACAAACTGTCTCTCTATCCTTTGGAGTAGTCTTGTTTCTGGAATCTAAGGTTCCTACCGTGTGTCCTCCTACTGAAAAACTGGGAAACAGACGTGCGTGGAAGGAAAGCTGGTCCTGAGGAAAATAGAGGAGACCTTTCTGTCTCAAACTTCATCCTTGGGGGAATGAAGAGACTTTAGGGGACACACTGAGTCACAGCGAGACAGCAAGTAGGAAAACCCCATGCTGGGAAAGTCTTGTGCAGGTCTGTGAGCTTCCCTCTGCTCTGGCAGGAGACATACAATGGACTTGGCTTCCCTGAGGTCAGTCTGCTTAACCTAGGGAAGAACCTCTCTTCAGCAAAAGGATGAGGGAGAAGGAGGAGGAGACAGTCACATGAATCCTTTGCTACAATCTGGACAATATTGTGTGTACTTGGATGACTTGAACTTATATCCTTTCCTCCCTGTTTTTTTTTTGGACAGGGTTGGGATTTGAACTCAGGACTTTTCTCTAGTTGGGAAGATGCTGTACCAATTGAACCACACTTCTGACCCTTTTTCCTTTTAGTTAGTTTGTAGATAGGCTCTTGTGCTTTTTGCCTTAGATGGTGATCCTCCTACCTATGTCTCTGGCATTGCTAGGATTATAGACATCCTCTACCACACCCAGCTTGTTGGTTGAGATGGGATCTCCCTAACTTTTTCCCCCTGTTCTGCCCTTGAACCCTGATCCTCCCAGTCTCCACTTTCTATGTAAGCTGAGATTACAGACATGCATCACCACATGTGATCTTGAAGTTGATACTCTTTTCTAATGTCTTATCACTCTCTCCAGTGAAATCAATTCCTCTGAGAAGTATTTTAACCTCTTCTTTTCATGGAGAAAGATCTGGATTAAACGGCCACATCAGACTTGTCTCTACTTGCTGAGCATGCATGCTGTATTATCCTCCTTTATTCATCCTTCATCCTCCCATCCAAGGATGAGAGGTTTGGAGCTGTAGGTGAGAGGCGTTTGGCTTTCTCCGGGAATCTGTAGTCTCTTTTCCTTTCCTGCTGCACGACCGTTGCACAGGTGCCCGTCGCTGTGTGAGTGAGCTGAGGCGCCACACCTGGTCAGTGTGCGATAGTTTCAGTGCCCCTTCAATCCACACCCCACGTTAACAGGAAGGGCACACCTGACACGAGCAGAAGGCTGCGATGGTGGAGGGCCACGTACAGTTCATGCAGTGCTTGCCTGGAGAACGCTTCCACCCCCACCATGAAGGTCAGGCAATGCCGCACTTGTGTACCTACCCCTGCTCATGGCTGCTCACGGCCATCCTGCAGGCAGGTTACACACCAGCCAGGCCCCTTCAGCAGCCAGGCAGAGGGAGGCTGAGCCTTGACCCCTGTGTCCAGAGCCCCTGTCTATTCCTCACCCTGAGCTCTCTGCCCAGTCTTGTGGGCCTCCATACTTCCTCAGATGACCATGTGGCTCCTCCCTCAGGGCCTTCAGGGCTTTGCTGAGGTGTCACCTCATATTGCTGCATCCTGTGGCCATGTGAACTACAATTTCTACCTACCCTCCCACCTCCCACTTCACTTCCTGTCCACCGTCACTCCTGCTTCTTCTCATTCATATCTATCACTTTGTTCTATGCGAACATGCTCCTCAACTTATGATGGGTTTTGTCACAATAAACCCATGGCAAATGGGAACTAGCCTAAGTAAAAAGAAAAAATTAAAGCACTGATTAGAGGGTACCAGCAGCTGACACCTATAATCCTAGCTACTCAGGAGGCTGAGATCTGAGGATTGTGGTTCAAAGCCAGTCCAAGCAGAAAAGGTCCATGAGACTTTATCTCCAATTAACCATCAAACAGCCAGAAGTAGAGTTGTGGTTCAAGTGATAGAATGCTATCCTTGAGCAAAAAAGCTCAGGAACAGTGCCCAGACCCTGAGTTCAAGCCCTAGTAATCACACACACACACACACACACACACACACACACACACACACACACACACACACAGATTACAGTCAGCTGGGCCTAGCCAGCACCCTATCTCAGTCAGCCTGTTCTGACATGCTTAAAGCACTCTGGTTCACCTACAGTTGGGCAACTTCACTTAACAGGATTCTCCTTTAGACTCACATGCAGAATGTCTCATGGAATTTCTTGAATACTGGGCTGAAAGTGAATGATTGATGAATGAACTCCACAGTTCTGTAAAGTCAAACAATCATAAGGTGAACCTTTGTTGTTGGGGAGCATCTGTGTATCTTCCTTGTTAATCCATTTCCCCATACCAAGCAAGAAATTAATTTTCCACTTTCCAGTGCCTAGGAAGTGTCTGATATAGTTGCACAGTGATATGTCTCAAATGAATGAATTAATGAATGAAACAATGAGTGAGTGCCTTTCTCACTATTCTATCTTCTCTCCTGACACCTGGGAACAAAGTGAATCCCAGGCTTTGAGCCATATGTTGCCAACAGTTTTGGTTTCGTGTCCCTAGAGTACCTGAAATCTGCATGTCAGAAAAATTGGCAAGAAAGAACATTTCTATGCTAACTTCGAATTGTTTTCCTGAATGCACAAACAACGTTTTGCTTTTGTTGTCCAATTAAGAGAGGCCAGGAATTACCTAGGGGACCTGAGAGGCCCTGATGGCTGGTGGGACTGGTGTGTGACCGCGCTGCTGGACGGACTGTACCCAGAAGGCCTCTCTGCTGCTGGCCAGGTGCCTAGGGCTCAGGTGTGTGGTCCTGCCTCTCCACCTCTCAAGTGTGCCACGGGAAGTGGGCCCAGCTACACAGCCATGTAAGGCTTTGAATGGCTATGTTGGTTGCAGGGCCATGGCTTTGCCCCCAGGGAGCTCCCATTACTCTCCAGGTTCATTTACCTCTCCCACCCCTCCCTGAGCTGTGTGGGACTCCAGGCTCCATGTTTATAAGCCCCATCTGGCCCCGGGGACACACATAGAGAATCATAGGGCTGAATGGGTGCAGAGCGAGTCCATGGCAGATTCTGGTTTCCAGTGTGGACTCGCATGACAAGGGACACTAGCAATGTCCCCAGGTCAGAGGAGGGGCAAAGGTATAAGAAAGAAGAATCAAAGAAGGTTTGGAAAGAGACAAGCAGGTCACAAGTTTAAAAATGAAAAGAATAGCTTTTTATAAATATCCCATTCCTTGCTCCTTGTCTTATTTTCTCCCTTCCTTCTAAAAAGAAAAAGGAGTTGATATCTTAGCCAGGTATAGTGGTTCACACCTGTAATGCTAACTACTTGGAAGGAACACAGTTCCAAGACGGTCCAAGCTGAAAAGTTTGGGTGAGCCCATCTCAATAAGAAAACTGAGCTACACAGAACTCATAAATGCTATAGACCACGATAGACAATTTGCCCCATGAAAGTTAGAATGCGTTTGTGACTTTAACTAAGCATCACCATCCCACAATACTGTGAAGTTTGGGAAATTATACAATCACTTAATCACAATAAAGAATTTGAGAAAAAGGAAAAGAAAACTGAGCTAGTGCTGTGTGCCTCTCATTGCCAACAGATTTCATTTCATGTCCCTAGAATACTGCAGGAGAATGCTAGACCAGTGGCTAGGGCAAAAGGTAAGACCCTATCTCAAAAAAAAAAAAAAAAGCAAAGAAGAATCAAGAGGTAGAGTGTCTGCCTAATAACTGCAAAGCCCCACGTTTAATATAAGTAAACAAAATCTGGCAATATCTTTGAGTTGTATTCCTCAAGTACTATTTTTCACTTCATTTTTATTGGATTCTATGTGATATCATGAGATAACAACAATGACGAAATCTGAAGAGATCAAAATAAAGATCATGAGAAGTTGTGGAGACTGAAATGTCATTCGAATGCTAGTCTTTTCTCCAGATGAGGCTGGGGAGGGAGGGAGTGTCTTAAAGTGTTGGTGGAAATGTAGTGGGTCCCTCGTCCAAGCTCCCCCAGCCTTTGTAGAAATTTTAATATTCTGAGTCTCTCTTCTTCTTTCAGCCAGGAGCTCTTGGAGGAAAATGCTACCTCCTCGGTACCCCTGTGATCAAGCAGCTCAAAGTCTTTCCCTGTGGTCCATGCAAGGTGAAGCTCTGCTTCTAAACAGGAATTGAGTTTGAAAACTTTGGGAGACACTGAGGCTGGGAATGGATAGATGTGTTGGCATCCTCAGAGCTGAGAGTGACTGGAAATTGCCAGGCACCGGGGTGGAGTGGGAGGAGATAGAGGAAGACTCACCTTCCTCTTCCTCTTTCCAAACACCTCTTAGAGTCTGGTTTACTATATCCACTGGACTTGGTGCTGTACGCAAACAAGGCAGGATTTTTAATCTAAAGATAAAATGTTTACCTTTTTTTTTTCATGTGGAGAAGGGGCTGCCTTAGGAGGAGAGTTTTACCTGTATCATCCCCCTTTTGGGAAAATCTGCAGCTTGTCCCATAGAGTCTCAGGTTGGAGTCTTCAGTACATAGTATCTTGTTCCTTCTGGCTCCTCCAGTGTACAGCACAATGGGGGAGCCACAATGCAGGCAGACTTGGGGTGGAGATTGACAGCTTCTTCTGATTGGTGGTTTTGTTCCAGTCTCCCAGGCCATTCTGGATGTTCATTGGAGGCTCTGATCCCATGTGTCGCCCTGAAACCCAAGGCCTTGCGAATCAAAGTGTGGTCTCCTGTAGTCCTGAGGCCTGTGGGGCCAGAAAAGAGGCCTGTGTGCATAGCCTGGGCAGAACAAGGTGAGCGTCCATTGGGGGGAGGCTGCAGGGCAAATCCCAGTCCAGGCACTGATTAGTAAAAATGTGATTGCTTTAAACAGTGGAGTCCATTGTAAAGAGAAAAAAAGAGGCAACTGAATATTCTAGACACTGGACATTTCTCCTCCATTTGTACATTGTACAAATCAGAACAGAAGCCCTAATTTAGCCAGGATGCCATCCATCGTTGTTGCTGCTGGGAAGGGGGGAGAAGCAAAGAGAGAGGAATTTACTGTCACCAACAGAGTCCTCAAGACACAGAGAACCATTTGTCCAGCGCCTTAATGGTCCAGTGTTAGCTGGGCACTGTTGGCCCATGCCTGTAATCCTAGCTACTCGGGTGACTGAGATCAGATGATTGCAGTTCAAAACCAGCCCAGGTGGAAAAGTCCATGAGACTCTTATGTCCAATAAGCTACCAAAAAAAAAGTCAGAAGTGGAGCTGTGACTCAAGTGGTAGAGTGCTAGCTTGAGTGAAAAAGCTCAGGGACAGTGCTCAATCCCTAAGATCAAGCCTCAGGACAAAGCTTCCGTGTCGTTTGTCCTTGTGCAAGCTTGCAGGAGGTGTTCTAAGCACTGCACTCCAGCCGGGTTTTTCTGGGGACTTCAAAGCCTTGCTCCATCTCCCCCAACCCTCCTCTCAGTATGTGCTGCTTTCCAGGCCCAAAGCCCATGCAGCCCTGGCTGCCCTGAGGGCCAGCAGGTGGATTGACCAGAGCACCAGGGCAGTGTCTGTGCACTTCACCCTCTACAACCCCGCAGCCCGACTCTTCTCCAGCGTGACCCTGAGTGTGGAGATTCTCCCTACTGGAGGCCTGACCCCCTCTTTCCTAGTGCAATCCTTCAGCATCTTCCATAGTGACTCAGCCCCCCAGTACTATCTCATGCTTCTCAAGGTGAGTTCACCTGCTTCTCTGGCCTCCTGAATGAACACACGGAGGCCGGCCTTCCCCTGGCCTGGGCACCCTCACTGGCTAACATATCCTGCTAATCACACCCTTGTCATGTTCCCATCATGCCAGCATGCCAGGAGGCATCACAGGAAGTCTTGTTTTGTTTTTTGTTTTTTTTTGGGTCCGGTCGTGGGCCCTGAACTCTGGGCCTGGGCACTGTCCCTCAGCTCTTCAGCTCAAGGCTAGTGCTCTACCACTTGAGCCACAGCACCACTTCCGGCTTTTTTTTCTTTTTGCTTATGTGGTACTGAGGAATCGAACCCAGGGCCTCATGAATGCAAGGCAAGCGCTCTACCACTGAGCCACCTTCCCAGCCCAATCACAGGAAGTCTTGAGGCCTGGGAAATACTGCCCCCGAATGGAGAGACCAATCTCATACAAGTGGCCCAAATGTAGGGCTGTCAACAGACTTAGTAGGAGGTTTAGGGCTGGGATCTAAGTCTCTCATGGGTCTCTACCAGCTTCTGCTGTCTTAATAAAATATAATCACCTCCCCACCACACACAAACACACACACCACCATCCAGTCACACCTTCTATAGGTTCAACTTGCAGTCAGCTGTGGTCAGAATACATGAAATGGAAGATTCCTGAAATAATCCTTAAGTTTTAAGTCATTTTAGTCCTTCTATTTTTATTGTTTTTTCTTGTTCATCTTTCATGGGGGCAAATTTCTAAATTCAACTTCATCATAGTTTCAGATGTATAGGAAACAACACAGTATATGTGAGGTTGGGTGAAGGTTCAAGCATTTGTGGGGAGGCAGTCTGAATAAAAGAAATTACTGTCGGGCTGGGAAGGTGGCTTCGTGGTAGAGCGCTTGCTTTGTATGCATGAGGCCCTGGGTTCGATTCCTCAGCACTACATAAGCAAAAAGAAAAAAGCAGGAAGTGGTGCTGTGGCTCAAGTGGTAGAGCGCTAGCCTTGAGCTGAAGAGCTGAGGGACAGCGTTCAGGCCCACGACCGGACCCCAAAAAAAAAAAAGAAGAAAAAAAAAAAAGAGATGCCTGTACAAAGGCTGGGTGACTTAAATAGAAGACATTTATTTAGCACAGTTCAGGATGCTGGAGGTCTAAGATGAAGCTGCTGAAAAGGTGGTGCTCTGGTGACGGTTGCCTTCTTGACTTGTGGGAGCTAGACTCCTCCCTGTATCCTCATGTGGCCACTTCATTTTGCAAGTGAATGAGCATGGAGCACATGAGGTCTCTGGGATCTACATGTATAAGGCCATGCAGGACCAGGGCCCCACCCTCCTGCAGTTATTTAACCTTTTTTTTTGTTGTTGTTGGTCGTAGGGCTTGAACTCTGGGCCTGGGCGCTGTCCCTCAGCTCTTCAACTCAAGGCTAGCACTCTACCACTTGAGCCACAGTGCCACTTCCGTTTTTCTGGTGGCCACTTCCCGTTTTCTGGTGGTTTATTGGAGATCAGAGTCTCACCGACTTTCCTGCCCGGCTGGCTTTAAACTGTGATCTTCAGATCTGAGCCTCCGGAGTAGCTAGGATTACAGGCGTGAGCCACGGGCGCCCGGCATCATTTTTTTTTTCTTTTTTGTGGTCCCATCTCCAAGTATAAATCACACAGGGTGCTTAAGCTCCAAACTACATTGGAAAAGGGGGAGGGGCGCATCAACCTTCAGGAGACTGCTTTTTGGTCACATCAAAGCAAGTGGTACTGCAGTGCCATATTTTAAACCATCAGAAGTGACATACAGACACCTCGATGAGCACTTTTGCTCATCAAGAATGTTCATGTCACGTATGTCATATGTATACATGAAGACTGACTTTTTTGAGCATGCTAAGGAGAGAGAGAGGAGACTTGTCTGAGTGTTCTGTGTTTGGTTTTTGATGCCAGTACTGGGGCATGAACTCAGGGCCTCTTGCAAGGCTTTTTCACTTAAGGCTGGTGCTGCTTGAGCCACAACTCCATTTCTGGTTCTTTGCTGGTTAGTTGGAGATAGGAGTCTCACAGACTTTTGGAAAAGTTCTGCCTGGGCTGGCTTCAAACTGTGATTCTCAGGTCTCAGCCTCATGAGTAGCTAGGGGTGTGAGCCACCAGCTCACACAGAGTTGTTGTCTATCTTGGCTATGTGTGGTCTCTCTACCAGCTCATCTTCCTGGTGCTCCACTTGGCCCACCTCTGCCTTCAGCTCTGTGGGACTGCTGAGGAGGGTCTCCTCAGCTGCTGGCGGAAGCCCAGAACCTGGCTCGAGGTAGGCTTCCATGGGTCATCTCTGTTCTGAAATTCAGTATGATAATACTATATGATCTTATTGTTTTATATGCTATGTTATAGTTGTTACATATTGTGTAATCATATAATTATATATAATATATAATCACATAATTATATATAATTTTATTATATATATATTTATTATGTCATCTTAATATATAAGTGTCTAGTATTATAATATATAGCATATTGTGTAAATCATATATTATGAATACTACATATACTATATATTAATAAACATATTACTATTTTACTATATATAATATACAGTATAATATTCAATACATATTTATATGTAGTATATTACATAATATATGGCATATACAATATAATCTATCAATGTCAAATGTATTATAGCATATCTATTATATATGATATATTATTGTTATGTACAATATGGTCTATGTAATATCTACTATATAATAGATATATCATTATAATAACACACTCATGATAAAATGAATTTTTGTGTCTATATAACTTTTTTTTTTTTGGCGCCATTCCTGGGGCTTGAACTCTGGGCCTGGGCGCTGTCCCTGAGCTCTTCTGCTCAAGGCTAGCGCTCTACCACACAAGCCACGCAGCTCCACGTCTGTCCACGTCTGGTTAACTGAGATGAGAGTCTCACAGACGCTCCTGCCCGGCTGATGTTGAGCGTCCGATCTCAGCCTCCTGGGTGCTGGGAGGACGGGCTCGTCTGCAGGTGCGTCCTGCAGGGGTCAGCTGCGTCCTTCCGAGCTGACCGCGTCCTCCCCTCGGTGCCTTGCA